CTTAAATAAGCAATTATATTTACCATAACGTATAATTTTGAAATTGGTAATCACGTGCAACGCAAGGAAGTATTAGGTTAGCGACGCTTTCAATCTTCATTAGCGCAATCAAGTTGGAACAAAACTAACATATTACATGAAACTAATCAAAATGTCTTTGGTCATATTTATAGGTCCGATTGAAAAAGAGACGAGCTAACCATCAGAATGCAACTTTTGAAGGAAATACAGCTATTGTGTGAAAACTTTGATATTGATAATTAGGATACGAATGACTTCAAACTCCTTGACGGTATCCGCTATTTTGGAACAATGTCATAAACAGAACCAAATGTAGCTTCGAGCAATATTACATATCCGCTTATTATTTTGAGCTTTCGCACCATTAAATGCATCTAATTCAATACAATTATCGGACTAAATGAAGTATTATTTATAAACAAATATTTGGTAACTAAGAAACATCCATACAAACAAATCCCTTAAGACATATGCCATGTATTGAACAAAGAGAGTGTTCATGCTTTACTGCTTCACAATTGTAGACATGAACTAATATTTAGTAACTAAGAAACATCCATACCGATAAATTCCTTAAAGACATATTCCATATATTGAACAAAGCGAGTATTTATGCTTTACTGCTTCACAATTGAACGCATCACGAGACTAGGTAACATTTTTAAGGTAAAAAGTAATAATTAGATTTTCCCACTTTTAGTTATCTTTTTTCACTATTTCTTTTTCATTTTATTTAATAAGAAGTCCAAAAGTCTATGTAATGTGGGTAATATCTTATAAACAGAAGTTCAAAGATCACCATTGATCTTACAATCGTTTCTAAGCCAAAATGGTGAGTCTTATTTTTGAGTTTGAACTTCTTTTTCATTTCCTCTATTAATGTTTTGTTCAATTCTTTGAGCTTTGTTCTTAAAAATTTTCTATAAAGAACTTGTCTTCTTTTTTTAAAAAACTTTTCATAAGAGTTTTAGGTATTTACAAATGTATATTCGGTTTTGATATGAAATTGTTGGAAATATGGGTACAACAAACAGAGTTTAGAGGCTATTTGAAGGGATTGCTTTTCTGATCGTATGAAGGGATTGTTGTACACAAGTGCAAATAACATTAGATTTGTTGTGCACATGAAATACTTTTTTTATATCAAATTGAAGATTACATGAGGTAAAAAAATTTCGTAGTTTGTATTGAAATATTTATGAATATTTTAATATTTCTCCAAATAATTTTTTTTTTGTGTGTAAAACAATGATGAACATATCTTTTGATATCTATATTTCTTGTTTAACAATGATGATTTAATTTGACGTTGAGCAGGGTTGTTGTATACGGATACTGTGAAGTTCATGATTATTATGATCACATTCTTTCTTCTATTTTGAATCTCCAGGTAATTGTTAATTTAATTTTAAGATTGCCTTTCTCTCTCTGTTTTTTCATTTTTATTTTTTTTGTTGGAAACTTTTGAGTTCTTATACCACAAAACTTTTTTTTTTTTATATTTGCCTTTTTTCATTTATCAGTTACGTTTCTTTTAAATTTCTCAACTCTTTAAATATAGGTAGTGTGAATACTCTTTGCAATAATAAATAAATGTTATTTACAAAATAATAACATGCACTCTTTATTTATTGATATATAATTCATTCCCTTTTGGATCAAGTTACCATGAATTTTTAATTTTAATTTTAGGATTAGATTTTTTCCAATTCAAGAATCTCTTAATATACTTTCTAATTAGTAATTATATTTGGATAATTAATACTACATAATAGTAATTATGCAGGAATAAAAGGCTGGGGAATTTACATAATCTCAAAAGTATCCAATAATGAAATATGTTGTAATCATAATATGATGCAGTTAGAGGACATTTTTACGATGATAAATACTACTACTAGATATCCCACATAAAAATGGCCTTACATATTCTCACGCTGTATAAGTAAGATAAGTTACCATTATTGTTATCAGATTCAATATGGTAGTAGTTTTTTCCCAAATTGACAATATTCATGAGTTATGCATATTTTTTTTCACATGGGTGGTTTTAAAAGTCTACAATTCTTACTTATAAAGTTGAACTGCATACTAAAAAATCACCAAATAATTGAAAGCTTTTTTAAATTTTAGTGAAACACTGATCTTACTACAATTGTTTATGCTAAAATATCAATATTCGTTCTAACAAAGATTTAAAAGTTGAACTTAAAAGAAATACAAATATGATAACCATTCATATTAACTTAATTAATTAAAGAAAGTTATAGTATATCTTTGCGATTAAATCTTACTATTATTTAAGAATTCACAATGAATTTGCATTGAGAAACGTTTACATTTGTAAAGTTAGCTCTCGAATGCTATATATACATATACATTATAAGTAACATTTGTAATATGCGAAAAGAAATATAATTTTTTTTATTTAAAATACTACTTTAAATGTATTTATTAGATCACTTTGTTGGATTACACTAAATATTTATTCAAACACTTTAACATAATAAAATCATCCCACTTTATGGTACTATATAGATATATCGTTGTTGTTGTTGTGGTTGTTGTTGTTGTATAAATTAAAACAATTTGAAATATCTATTCAAGGTCCTTCAAACTAATAAGCTTTATAATTTAACATTGTCGTTCTCTGTTGTCTTACAACTTTGCGACCGAACATCATGTTTGTGGATATAAAAAGTATAACAAACTTTTATTTTGTTTACAACACTACTATGTTATCAATCGATGTAACTTTTTTTAAAAATCGTATACTTATTGACGTAGGGTTCACGCGCAAAGCGCGTGTCCAGGAGCTAGTTAAATAAATAAGAAAAAAGAAACAAAACAAGGTGTTTAACCTCCCCTATTTCATTTAGTGAGAATAGTAGCAAGCACTTAAAGATTCAGGGAAAGATCCAAATTTTCCCAAAAGTGACAAGATTGAACCCCTGGGAACAAATTCCAGCAATATATTTAATGATCATGCCTCACTTGCAGTGAAGCAATACTACAACAACAACATACCCAGTGTAATCCCAAAAGTTGAATCCGAAAAGGGTAGAATGTACGCAGACCTTATTCCTACCTAGGAAGTAGAGAGATTGTTTCCGGTAGACCCTCGACTCAAGGAAAAACATTTCAAAGCAAATCGAAAAAGAAATAACGGGATCCCTAAGAAGTAAAAAAAAAAAGAACAGTAAAACAACCTTCAACCACACCTTACCTAACTTGAGACAAAAATAGAACCATGCTCATGACTATATTGAAATGCGAGAAATTCTTAAAAATTAAATATCCAGTTCTTCTTGAAGCTCCCCAAACATGAGTCAGATTCTTAAAATTGTCAATTTTTCATGTTGCACCCACTGAAATTTCTTAAAGCAAGAAGCCAGGATCCTTGACGTAGAACTCACAAAGTCATTTATCAGGGAAAAAGTAACTAATGTACTTGGCATTAGGAAATTTCTTCTTTAAATTTCATCTTCAGAAATCATTTTTGGATCATTTCCCATACTTTGTTGGGTAAAATAGTAAGTGACCTATGATGATTGTTCAAGGTGGAATATAGAATAAGAGGAGAGAGAATATTTGATGTTAAAAGTTGTCAACAACAACCAATTGTTAACTGAAACAAACCACATTTTGAAAGGCAAAAAAAATATTTGTTCATATGTGATGGAAGTCGGTGAAAAATATTTCCTTTCTAGAAGACATTTCAACTAACCAAATACTAGAAATTGATTTCGTCAATAAAAACAGTCTCTTACAAATCATTCTCAACGCAATCCAAAGTTAACTAGTTTAATATTTATGCAACAATTTAACTCAATTTTGGTCGCCAGTATAAATTAGTCATAAACCTAAAGGAAAAAGGAACAACATTAAGCTATTAGGTCAATCAAAATTTCTTATTTTCCTTTGAAGCACCCACCATAAGCGAATCCAAATTTCAGCAGCATAATGCACATATTTCCTTTTCCATTAGTGATCAAAGTAACAAAAAGATGACTAAGAAGAAGCAGTTAAAGGGGAAATTTAACCTCCTTGATAGCGACTTGGCGAGTAACTCTCAAGAATCAACATTCATCCCCATATAGACCTTCCAAAAGCACCACATCTTGCAATGGACGGAAGACCACATATTCGAGTCTGTCTCCCTAATTGATTTGAGTAAGCTGGAACCAATCTTCGCCTCCAAAGATCTGTCATATTCCATTTTTTGAGAGAATTGGGAGAAGAGGACTAAGATTTTGAGGAGTGGAAGAGATAAAATTGTTCTTCATCCAGAATTTTCACTTGGAACCATTATTTTGAACCCCTAAAATACTGTAATCTTATGTTTATGTTTAGGGGTTCAAAATTAATATATATATATATATATATATACATCAATGATGACAGGAACATGAACTTTCAAGAGTTAGCATTAGAATAGAAATTGTGATCAAGCGAAACACATGCACTATTATTGGTAGCAAAAGCCACAGGCACGCCTAGCTAAGAGTGCAATTTACTTCAACTCGGAACAAAATACTTTTTATATATTTTTCTTTGTCCACGGTATCAAAAATAGATATTCACTTTTACTTGTTTAGATAATAAGAGTTGTTATTTACCATTTTGTACTTGTTTTACCTTGTATGAGAGATGTTAGAGAGATGCCTATTGTTGGAGGCACTGGACTCTTTAGGTTTGCTAGAGACTATGCATTGGCTCATACTTTTTGGTTTGATGTCAACACTGGAGATGCTATTGTGGAATACAATGTGTCTGTTCAACATTATTGAAGTGAGAATTTGTGCTTATAAAGTAGTAATCACAGGCACAATGACTTTACTTTTTCTTAATTATTCCATCTTTTTAATTTCTTTTTTTACTTTTTCTGAATGTTCTAAAGTGATGTCTTATTTATATCAAAGAGTTTTGCTACTAATGTTTTATCAATTCACCAAGAAATCTATGAACTCCAAGCACAGTAGATAGAAAAACTTCTCAATTAGTGGACAAAGTATCCAGAAACACTTGGTAATGTATATAATCAAAGAGGAACCAAAACTACATATTTCTTTTGGTTCACTTGCACAGAAGTAGATGAAAATTGGACAGCCTAGGGGTACATAAGACATCATGAAAAAGTTTGATTTCTATAACAACTATCATGTCGAAATGCATTTGTTCGATCAAACTATCAATTCTTGTTAGAATCTGTTTAGTAGTTGCTCTCTATTTTCTTTCTCCAAGGAATTTGTCAATATTACCATACCAATTCCACTGGAAACATAGACCAACAACACGTAATATTCCAGCAGCTATCACTTCGATAAATGCCATCAGGAATGATCTCTGAGGAGATAGACCAGAAGTTGCTATGGAAAGAAAGAATCCCTCAAAGTTGCAAGGGACAATGAAGTTTCCTGATTTAAGGCCATTCAAAGCTTTCTTTGCAACTTCATCAGCTTTCATGGAACCAGAAGAAGCTGCTAGTATACTAGTCAACTGTGGCCTCCTCTTGTTCTCTGCAAAAGGATTAAACTTAAATTATTGCAAATGTAAACTGATTATCATTCAGGTAAGTTCAAGCACCTATCGGGTACATTCGACATTGTGCACATGAAATATTGGGGGTACAACACACACAATCATGTTGATGTCTCCCAAGGTTCAATATTAGTGCATACATATCTCCATGTGCATTCATCACAGCCTAAATATCATAACAAAGGAACTCTATAACTCGCATAAGCATGTCAACCCCTTGACCACATTCTTTAATATTAAAACGAAGCAGAGACCATACACATTAAGCCTCAAACTGTTCTAGACCTGTATTATCTAAATAGATCTAAAGACACTGAAATGCAGCATTTAACATCCTGTCGGGTTCTACAGAATCTTCATGGCATTTCAAGATTTTACATAACCTATTGAATTGCTATAAAGGATAGCTAATATGTGCAGTACATCATGAGCTAATCAAGAACAAATATTTTCTGGCTTTGTTCCTCGAAACATAAAGAACAAATTGGCTAAACAATTTGTGCTATCCCATGCAGTACTCAATAATTGGTAAAAAGATCAGTTCTATCATCATTTTTATTGTGAACTAATCAACTTGCTTGATCCAGACAATTTTGTGGTCTCTGAAGGAAGATAAAGAAAAAGATATTAAGGAAAAGGATATAAAACGAACATATCAACTTAGAATCAGAGGTAGATCATAGCATTTAGCATTAGTGGATTCCAACTGGGTATGGTGATATTACATATTTAATTTTTTTTACATAGATTTTATTTATGATAACCTTCTTTTTTTTACATAGACAAACATGATGCAAGTAGAAAGCAGTGTGTTTGTTGCCCCCCCCCCAACATGTAGCATAGCATCTAATTCGTGCATTGTGACATGTAGTGATAACAACCAGAAGAAACAGAGTAGGATTTGTTCAGGTCCAACCTTCAGCAAATCCAGGAGTTTCAGTGTCCGGGGGAAATATTAGTGATACGTGAATATTTTCACCAATTACTTCCTGCTGCAGTGCTTCTGCCAGTCCTCTGAGGCCGAACTTACTAGCTGAATAAGCTGTATAACCATATATCCCAACCTAAGACAACAAAATACCAAATAAACCAAATCAGCTAAGAAAAAACATTATAAAGTACACTAATGCAATTGTATGGGAAAAGAAGTTCACCTGATTCTACCATATTTTATCACAGACTGCTTCCAGTCTTTCAGGTTAAACTACTATTTGAGAAAACATTTCAGTGGTGGCTAACGATACACATTATCTCTTTATTATGTGAGCATCACAGACCAAGCTCCAATCCTTCAGGTTTAACTACTATTTAAGGAAGCATTTGCCGTGGTGGGTCCTCCAGTTAATTTTTTTATGATGAATACACGTAAATGTGAATGCATAGAGGGAAACGAAATTAAATAAATTGGACAATTGTGATGATCAACTCTAACTTATTTTCATTGTTTCCCCAAAAACTCCTAGATGAGATAAAAAATAAAATTGCAATAGAGATTAGATATCAATCAGAACAGAAGATGAAAAACGCTGCTGCTGAAAGTGTCTCCATGCAAAAAGTCCTCATGAATTGTGTACTAACGAGAATACTGCAAAATCATAAGATTGTCCACACTTTCTCAAACTACCATCCTCAAAGAATAATGAGTTCCAAACTTTAAGTGAGTCAGGTACATAACAAAACTACTTCTTTCTAATTCTAAATAAAGAGACGAAACTAGCTAATGCATTTCATTGTCTTTTGCTGTTCAAAAGACACTACTTGAAATGCATTTGCTAGTAACTGTAGCATGAAAAAATTTATAGGAAGTGCTTATCTGCAAATGTTGATACCATAGTAGTTACGAGTTCAGATACATTTGTAATAGTATTATAGCTCTCAACTACTCCGGGTGCTTCTAATTTAGAATTTTACAGTATTAGATGGTAAATGAACCTACGATGCTAAAACTGAAAGTATTAATAGGATATTTAACAAAAGAAAACTCCAATATCCTTGGTGGACGTAAGAAAATGGGTAAAGTAAGTAGAAAATAGAAAACCATCCAACATGTTACAGACTCCAGATTTAAGAACCAATAGCACAAATCATATCTTGACTAAATCTAGTGAATTTTAGAGATTGAGATAGACTTTATAATGCTTTGTTATTCTTTAATCATCTCAGACTGTATGACACTAATTTTACCTTCATTTCTCAATCTATTTATACCAGAAAACTGTGGTAAGATCTTCGAAAATTAACAACAAATATAAACAGTGATCATAGTACGACGTCATTTACATTGTTATCAAGTTCAAACCATATTTTGGTTCTGAACAATGCTCTCATTTCAACGTTTTGTGATAGTCATACCAGAGGCCAATCTTTATTATAATAACAAGACAGGTTAAGCTCACAACAGAAATATACTCTGGAGCAGTTTAGCCTTTCATGTCCTTATCTCAAAACTAGTTACTCGTTCTCCTGCTTACTATAGCTGTTACTAAGCATTTTTCTTTGACTAACATCTAACCTCAACCTAAATTCTTACATGGCAGATAGCAGAAGTGGTTGAAGAGATGTATTCAAGTTAACCAAAAGAGTATAATGCAATCAAGCATGTTCATAAATTACCGCCAAACATGCTCTTGATTTAGTGCAAACTACACACAAGAATACATTAGCCCCTAATGTCCTTAAGTCCACCGGTCTACCCACTTGGCGGCAATGCTAGATTACTTTACTATTTGTTTCATTACAACAGAAAATGTTTGAAGAAATCCTCTTTTACTTTTTTTGGTTACCTTACAAAAATATAATTCTCCCAAATACTTCCACCAATATGGGAAACTGACTAATACGGAACTTAGTATCTAAGCTAGAAATTACCTGAAGTGTGTGAAAGCTAATTTTGGTGGGAAAGTTTGTTAACTTGGCATTTTCTTATCCTAGTTTAATTTCCCATTTTCTTTTATTTCATTTTCAGCACACTTCATGTGAGCATAGCTGGTAGTATAAAAGATCAATCAAACACTTGTATTGCATCATGATAAATGATAATACAAATTGCTAATTTCCTTCCTAAACTTCTCCTCATGTATGCCCTTTTCTCTCATTTTTCTCTTCTTTTTTGATGAAGTAAGAAGTTTCATTAAAAGCATCAAGAAGATGAGTAAAAGGGGAGTACATTAGAGCTAACAAAGAGACTTGTGTTACATTCCTTTCTTCTCTCTCCTCTGTTCTTCGATACCAACAATTAGGCATCAAATGGTATCAAAACATTGATCTCTTGGGGCTGTGTTCATGGAGAAGAACACATCAACTGGGAGCTCAAGCTGAGATCCTAAGATGATGGAAAATCGGGTGGATTTGGCTGCACGACTTGCTGCTATGGCTGCTAGTCAGAAGGAATTAATGAATCGAAAAGACCAGATGGAACAACGACTGTCAAATTATTTAAAATGATAAGTGAACTGAAGGAGGCTATTAATGGCCTTCACCTGCAGAACAAACAAAGAGAAGCTCTTTCTCCCCAAGAGCGACACTGAAGCTATTCTGCAGACTGAGAAAAAATCTCAAGCTGGATCGGTCTCTGCCAGCGAAATCACTGGACTAAATAAAATTAGAGAACTAGTTCAAAAATGAACGATTGTGAGATGTTTGAAGGAATGACCCAAGGATTTATAGCAGATATATCAGACCAGCAACACACTATGAATATCCGTAAGAACATGGAACTAAAAAAAGTTTGTCGATGCTCTCCACATTCGCAATAACCACAAAGCCATCCAGTCGCCGAAAACTAGGGACAATGAAAAATCTGATCAGAGAGTTTAATTTGAGTACTGTTCACTTTAACATCCCTATAAGCATGCATCATGTTGAGAGAACTAAAATTGCTTACCGCATTTGATCAAATGCTTGAAAGCAGTGGCGGATGTAAGAATTGTGTGATAGGTAGGGACATGATTACTCAAGGTGTTTTGTTTCATTTTCCATTTGACCCTGGTCAAAATGTGCTTACTAGCACCTCTAGTAATTCACTGCTTGGTGGTTACTGTGAAAATAAATAGATGCACTATGCAGTCACATGTTTGGGACAACACCTGACAAAATTATTGTTTCCTAGAAAGTGATGATCTCCTGCTATACCAGAGGTTTATGGTGTCATGAAGTTGTGAGTGTATTTCCTGGTTATTTAGGATATATCCAGACCAACACAACAGAGATTCAAATGATTTGGCGAAATATGGAAAATAAGTGGCATAATTACTGGTAAATCTGAAGAAATCAGCTTTAGGGTACCATTGCAATTCTTGTTTAGCTGGTTGCTCAAGAGTGAGGTATCATAGTCAAACACATGAAGATTTTGATTTGTGTACCGAGTGCTTCAACAGTAGCAAATTCGAAGTTGACATGTTTCCTTCAGATTCCATTTCTATTGACCTTGTTGAGGAAGAACAAACAACAAATGATTCATGGGATGTGCCTACAGAATCTTTTTTTTTATGAAGTAGATGTGCCTAAAGAATCTACAACTGTTGATGGCAGCACACATTTTGAGATTGCAACAATAAACCCAGTGTAATCCCTCGCCCCAATTTTTTTGGGCCTACCTCTACCCCTCCTAAAGCTCTCTACGGCCAAAATCTCACACCTCCTTACCGGGGCATCCACACATCCAGTGGCGGACCCAGGATTTTCGTTCAGGGGGTTCGAAAAATAAAAGTATAAATGTGTATATATAAGCCAACAAAATAAAATTTCAAGAAAGTAGTAGTATTTAGTTTTAGTGGTGGACCCTTGAATTTTTTTGGGTTTAAAACCACACTTTTAGCATGTTTTATAAAATAAAACGTGAAAACGGAACTGTAACAGTAATATATCCTTGTATATTATGTGTATATAGATCTTGTATCTCTTGCTTAAGTTATTGTATATCATGTGTGTAACATCATATATATGACATACATGTGATACATCTTGTGTATGTTTGATCTGTGTTTACTTTACGTCATGTGTATGCACAAGCTAGGTATGTACAGTGGCGGACCCAGGATTTTCGTTCAGGGGTTCGAAAAATAAAAGTATAAACGTGTATATATAAGCCAACAAAACAAAATTTCAAGAAAGTAGTAGTATTTAGTTTTAGTGGTGGACCCTTGAATTTTTTTGGGTTTAAAACCACACTTTTAGCATGTTTTATAAAATAAAAAACTAAAAAAAACGTGAAAACGGAACTGAAACCTTTAAAAAAAAAAAAAAAAAACTGAAACTGGAAAAGAAAAAAATAAAACGCTAATGCAGGGATTCGAACCCTCGACATGAGGCTTAATTTTCAAGGAAAATGCCACTGGACTATCTCTTTCTCCTTGTCATTGAGGGGGTTCAAAATATATATATTCACATAAATACAGAAAATTACCTTATATATACAGTGTAATTTTTTGCCGAGGGGGTTCGGGTGAACCCCCTGGAACCAACGTGGGTCCGCCCCTGCACACATCTCCTCTTCATATGCCCGAACCATCTCAACCTCCCTTACTGCATCTTATTTTCCATGGGGGCCACTCCCACCTTGGCGCGAGTATCTTCATTCCTAATCTTATCTCTCTTGGTATGCCCACACCATCCTAGCATCCTCACCTCTGTTACTCTCATCTTCCGGGCATTGGACTTCTCGATTGGCCAACACTTTGCACCATATAGCATAGTCTGTCTATAAAACTTTTTTGACAAAGGTAACAATTTTGTGTATAAAACTAAAAAGAGCTAAAAACCTGGTCAAGCTTCTAAGGCTTTCTTCATTCTCCTTTCTTGGTTTTTGATGCATGTAGTTAATCAAAAATCAAGATGACATCAAAAGTAGGAGACTATTTGTCAAGTACGGTATAGACACCAGGGGAACAATATAAATCAAACATTACATTTCAATTTTATTTTCATATTTTTATATAAGCCTAAATTAAAACACATACGGCAAGATACATTCAGATGCCATACTATAAAAGAAATGCAAAATCATGTATTCCATCAAGTTGTATGATAATATTTAAACACAAGATGCATATAAATGTCTAAATCTAGCGCAAAATTACGTAAAATTGAAGATAAGTTATTTTCAATGTTAAATAGACTTGTATGTAACAGTATGCAATGAGGTTCAGTGTTCATTTAAGCCCACTATTATGTTTGCTTATCTTCAACCATTTCTGTTTCTTTTTTACCGTGGACTATGATGCTCATACAGAATACAACAATTTGTCAGCAAAATATTTTTTTGCATTTTGGGCTAAACTTAGATTGGAGTATAGGCCACCATTAGGAGCTCAACTATTTCTAGTCCAACTCAGAACTCATACTTGGGTATACTAAAAACATGAACTCTCACAATTAGCATCATACTGGAGATCAAAGTACCTATACTTTAAAAACCGCTTACTGCCTTGCCAACCATTTTTTTCTCTGCTCTAATTTGTTCCTTTCTCATCTCTATATGGTGAACTAGTTATCCGACGGAATTAATTCTGAGTGGAACAGAAGACCATTGAAATTGATACTTGAACCGAAGGTAGAACATACCTGACCAGCTTGTGAAGATATGATAGCGATGGACCCAGGTCCACGGTCAGCCCTATTCTTCATTCCAGGCAAAGCAGCTTTAATCAAATGAAAAGTCCCGATCAAGTTGACATCAATCATAAACTTGATCTCCTCAATATCTTGAGTCTCCAATTCTTGAGGTACAAAAACTCCCTGATTGCACACCAACACATCGATTGGTCCTGCCTCTTCTACAGCCTTCTTAACAGCCTCGTAGTCTCTCACATCAGCGCTGAAAATGGCCACGTCACGGCCAGTAGAAAGCCGAATTGACTCCTTCGCATCTTCGAGTCTACCAATGTTACGAGCAAGTATTGAAACTTTTGCACCTTCTGAAGCAGCCTGTTGAGCTAGAGCTAAGCCAATACCGCTTGAGCCGCCAGTGATGAAGACATGGCGATTTTTAATTGGAACTTTGACGGGGTGTGGTCGGACGATGAAGGCGAGGAAAACTAGGAGGGATAGAGAGAAGAAAGGGAGGAGGAGAGAGAAAAAAGAAATGCTCAAGTCCGCCATAGACAAATAGTCGCAGAAAAATCTTAGGTTGCCTTTGGACCTGCAATATGAAGATCAGCGCAATTCGGGATATGAGCTTTGGAATTTCAAATCTGATTTCAATGAATTCAGATCAACGATTTGGGATTTCACCATTGCAAATTTTTTAAATATTAAATTTTGATTTAGGACTTTGAATAATTAAAGTTTTAACTATTAAATTTTTATTTGAGATGAGTGTCAAAAATACACTTAAACTATTTATTTTTTTTAGTTCCATAACTAAACCATTGAGAATGTGAGTCCATACCTAAATATCACTTATTAGTTTGAGAAACACACATCTCTATCTTTTATTTGAAAAAACATTGACACATGGCATTCCACATGGATAAAGTATTCCACCCTGACAAAAATTAAATAATAAACTATTAATATTAATTAAAAACTAAAGATTAAAACATCACTATTCCAAAAAAAAAAATAACAAATTATTTTTTTAAAAAAAACTAATTAAAAATAAAATTTAAAGGATATAGAAGATCTTTTAATGAAATATTTACATACATTATATAAAATAATAATAATAATATAACATTGTTGAAATATATTAAAGGTATAAAAAAATTGTCTAACATAAAGATGAAAATTGAAGAATTTCTTTTTTTCACAAATTCCCTCGATGGTAGAAGGGAAAGATCTTTAGATATTATTCTTTTCATAATCTTTAAATTTTGTTGGGATATATATATATATATATATATATACTAGATGTGGTGTGCCCGTGCGCTTGTGGTCGACATTATTGTTTGTTTATGCTATTTAATTTGACAAAATATAAGGAGAATATAAAGATGCAACAAAGAAATTTTAGTAAGCTATAAAGTAAGCAAGAATGACCTTTACCAATAATCATTCAAGAATGTGTTAAAAGAAGCTGACTTAGGAGATTAATTTGAAAGTTAAAGAGCTGCTTAACTCTTCTCCCATAAAGAAAAATAATAGAAATCAACCAACCTATTTGTGTATTAGAAAAACAAGGAACCAAAGAAGCATCTGGAGCAGCTAACTCCACAAATTCCAGGACACTTTGTATCTGCAATTTACAAAGTAGGAGTTGAATATATCAATTGTGTAATGACACCACAGCACACCCACACACACCCACACACTGTGTTATCAACATCAATTAATTTTGGGCTGATGTAAAATTTGTTCAACTATCTAGCATTCTTTTTGTCCTCCGCATCCACATTTGCCTCATGTCTTATGAGAAAAATAGTTACCTATCAAGCAAAAATCAAATCTAAAGATATATTAAGGTATCGACACTATTGTTTTAATACATGAAGCATCAATTAGGAAACGATGAAAAGATTTCTACTACCAACTTGGATGAGCAAAAGATCACACTTCAATTTCAAAGTTATAATCAAAATTTAGATTTGTCCATTTTATTGATTACTTTAGGCACAATCTTTAGTTCTTCTAGAACTACTATAGCCAATTGAAAGAACTTGAAGTTGCTGCCCTTAAACTCAGATCAATGGACCAGATGATGCCTTTAAAAGGACATTCTAAAGAATATTTGTGTCATAAGCCGAAACAACTGAAGATAACTTTTGATTTTTTAGTCGCAAAGATTTTTTTCTAAAAAGAATGTGGCAATCATTAACTTGCCTATAGACCTAGATAGTTCTTTCAGAAGGATTCCATCTCAATTTTCAGGCGACATAACGATTATAAATTCATACTTAGAGCCTATATTATTCATTGTCATTTTATGTTGAATTTTTGTAGATATGTTTGTTTTAACAAAGAACTGTGCATGACGGTGAAAATCAAACCAAGAAAACAAAACCTGATGCAATTTGAGATTATTAAACACATGGTCTAGTAGAGAGGGAGAGAATGAAAAGAGTGGAAGAAACATAAGAAGAAGTAATAGAGACTAAAATTGGGTGACAATGAAAAAATGAAAGAGAACGAATGAACGTCAGGTGTGAGGAGATGCACCCTGATTTGAACTAAAGTTCAAAAATTGAGCTTCCAATCAAAACTTTCAGAAGAAATTATCGTTGTTGGCTTGCTACATTAGCTTGACCAGCATTTTTTAATACAGCGTGAGCCTGAAAAGTGGTATCTAGTATTTTTATAAGAAGACAGGACTTCAAAAGTAGTCAAGTTTGCTGCCCATGACATCAAGTTACTAATATATACTTCTAATATGCTTCTCGGATTCACAAAATAGTAAAAATTCATGAAAGTCTGGATTCATTCCTAAATATGAATGGAGATGCATCCCTTTCTCTAATAAATCATAAAAATACAAAAGCATCGGCTTAAACGTGTGAAGGAGACCAATAAGATAGCATGTTAGCTTAATTTAAAGCTTTTTTTGGCTCAATAGTAACCAATTGCAACGACTTTTCTTCTTGTTGTATCACATCATTGCTTAAGTCAATATAGGGTAAACAAACAGTATGCAGAGTACAGAACTACAATAGCATGTGAAAGTTGCGAGTTGGTAGTTCTAGAGTTGACAAAAAGTTCCTTCACCATAAGTGAGGCAAAATAACAAGTACAGTTTCTACTACATACCGTTTTAGATGCATTTAGTGTGCCTTTACAGTATAGTATAGGTGCAGCTGCAACAACATTTGTAGTAAATGCCCCTGGATGAAAAACAAGAAAAAGGTGATTCCTGATTCATCGGTTTCTATTGGTTGATTGTTAGAAGGTAAGTTTTAACACAACCACCAAACAATGTGTTCCTTTTTCATTTCAAGAAAGCTATGTATCCTTTTGTCTTACAAGGAATGAGTGGGTGGGGAAAGGAGGTAAGAATTTTAAACAAACAACAATATAGCTTTCCATTCATGAACCTACGAAAAGCTCAACTCTGATAACGTAGGACTATGGAGTATGAGAAACCAGAGAGCTTGAGCGTTGGAAGAACAAAGAAAGTCGGCAAAGTAATCAAAAAAATAGGAGACACGTCTAACACCGAAGAAGAGAATAGGTAAATGTACACTCATTAGCATCACAGATGCACCACATGTAGGTAGAGAAGACAAATACTACAGAAAAAGTAAATCATTCATCACATGTCATGAAGTATAAGTAACAAGGCCAAGCAAGACAATAGTATATGATCAAAAGTCAAAACTATACATAAAAGCACACTTTAATACAATCTATGTTGCCATAATCGGGATCATTGAGAAATGAAGCCACATTCTAGTTAGAGCAGAGTTGGAATTTTTAACTACTCAAATTATAGTGTTTATAGCTGGTTCCATATACCAAAATTGGTAAAGCAGTGTAATTTGGATCTTCTGATGCATTTCTTCATCCACCATAAATTTTATTCTATTTCTTTCATTCCAGGTGTGGGATAAGACAAACAGGTGCATTTTTAACTGGTGCAGCTCCTAATGGTCTATTTGGACTTGGTATTGAAAATATATCTGCCCAAAGCATGTTAGCAAGTAAAGGTCTTGCTGCAAATTCTTTCTCTATGTGCTTTGGACCTGATGGTATTGGAAGAATAGTGTTTGGAGATAAAGGAAGTCCAGGCCAAGGAGAAACACCACTCAATCTTGATCAACCATAGTAAGTTGTCACTTTGATTTTCTGGTTTTAACGTTAAGGGAAGTGAGAATTCAACTAAATATGTATTTACTAGTTCTCTCTCTCTCTGAATGCAGCCCAACTTATAACATCAGCCTGACAGGAATAACAGTAGGAAGCAAGATCACTGATTTTGATTTCAGAGCCATTTTCGACTCTAGCACTTCATTCACATACTTGAACGATCCAGTTTACAAAGTCATTACAGAAAACGTGAGTGAGAAACTAATTGGATGAGTTATCTATGGAGTGTGTTCTTTGTATTTTAAAACTGAATAATTTGCTTCTTTTGCAGTTCGATTCTGAAGCAAAAAGGCCGCGTATTCAACCTTATGGCGAAATTCCTTTTGAGTACTGCTATGGGATCAAGAAAAAAGAAGAGGTTGACTGAGTAATATGTTAAATGGGTGGTTATTTAGTTATATTCTGTTTGTGTTCAGATCATAAGGCCTCCGGTATGTGTTCACCCAGAAAGAATTGAATCTTCGTCAAAGGAGATGACTTGAATTCCTCAAAGACTATGACATGAATGTGCTTTACCATCCAGGTAAGGCCAATGTAGTGGCCGACGCTCTCAGCAGACTATCTATGGGTAGTGTAGCACATGTTGAGGAAGGAAAGAAAGAGTTAGCCGGAGATGTTCACCAGCTTGCTCGCTTAGGAGTTTGCCTTACGGACACGTCAGATGGTGGTGTGATAGTTTAGAATGGATCAGAATCCTCATTGGTAGTGGAGGTTAAGGAAAAGCAGGATAGTGATCCTATATTACTTCAGTTGAAAGGTGTAGTTCATCAGCAAAAAGTTGAGGTTTTCTCCCAAGGGGGAGATGGTGTACTTCGTTACCATGGTAGCTTATGTGTTCCAAATGTGGGTGAGTTGATGCAGCAGATCAATCAAATTAAACAAAATAAAAAATAATGAAGTTACTGCCACTTAATAGTAAAGGGATAAAGGGACACCATTCATGATAAATTATTTTAAAAGCCTAACATTTCTATCCCTTAAATAAAAATGGCAACAAAAGATAACAAAACAATACATCAAGCTTTTAGCACAATTCGCATACTAAAGATTGGAGGAATTATCCTATAGCACACAAACGGAAGAGAATCTACTGATTTAGACATGAATCAACAAATTAAAGGCTTCAACAAAATCTGATTCAAAACAACAACTCTTTAACTAAAAAAAAATCAACTAATTTTAAAACAAGGAAACTAGCAATACAATGTAAACAATCAATCACCACATTCATAAGAAACTATCACCTTATACCTTTAAAACAACAAACAACATTAGTCTCTGATGGGGGGATCACATTCCAAATAAATTGAGGAGGCAATGATGAAACCATTAAGAGGTAAAGAACATGCTATTTAACAATCTTCCTAACGAATTCAACGACCAACTAAGGCAAGAAACAAATACTACACTGAAAGAAAAATCAAAACCTCACATTTTATAAACTCAACTACAAATGGTGAGCACTTTCGACTAAAATTTAGACAAAATGGGGACATAAACTCGATTCAAACAAAGCATGCTGGACAGCAAGACAATTCTGGAATTTGAAAATGGAGAAAATCAGTGACTACATCAACAAACGATAGATAAAACGTCAAACAACCTTCATACTAACTGGTTTAAGATTCTTCCCCTATTTTTGAAAAGAAAAATGCCATTAACATAGCAAAATGAATGAGACCATTGATGCTAAGAGACAGCGAAAACAAGAAATACGAAATCAGCGACATCAAAGCAAGTATACGAGAAGCAAAACAGCAAGAAACGAATTCAAACAGAGGAGCAAAGATGCTAAATACAGAACACGAAATTAATTTGACACCGAGACTGAATCGCAACTTCACAGTAAGCAAGACGAGATTAACAATGAAATAAGACAGGAGAAACCAACTCAACATCAAATGGGATCATCAAATCTCAAACGCCAAAGACTGAAAAGGAAACAAATAAATTCGCGAATGAACAGACCATCTACTGATTCATAGCCAACATTCAATCGGAATACGCCTAAAATCATAACATTTGAACGCTTAGTCAGTCAAGAATCGAGTAGTCCACACATTAAGAAATAAAGAGACATGGGCTGAAATAAATGTTACCGCAAACTGGAACAAGAAACGAGCTGGAAATTAACTATTCCACCACCACACGAAAGCAAATTCTTCAACTAATCCGAAAGAGGTGGACGTCCTTGATGAACTCGAGTGTCCTACGTGCTCAATCCTACGCGATCAAGGACAAATCAAGGGCTGTTGGCAGCTGTACTGTTGAGGCGAGGAGAGGAAGAAGACGCGTACAGTGTACTAGAATCGCCGTTTGATTCCGGATTTGCTGGACTGGTGCATCTTTTCGCTGATTTCTCGGTCCTGGTCGCCTGAAGAAGATGATCATAGGGGTCGTTGGTACTGTATTGTACGCTATTGGAGGACAGAAAATTAAATAATAAGTCTTGGTTTTGTTTTTTACGACACTTTGACCTCAAATTCACTTTAAAATGTAATTAAATAAAAATGGGACCAAATTAACATTTTCAAAACTTTCTAATTTTTTATAAAAATACAAAAAAACACTTCATTTTTCAACTTTTATAATTCTATCCAAACCATTTTAAAAAAAAAAGGTAAAAGAAAATAGAATTTTTTCTTCTTTCTCCTAACGTTCTCTCTTCTCTTCTTCTTCTTCCATAGAAATTTCAAAAATCCGACTATCAAAACAAATATTCTCCCCCATTATCTTATCTTCCTCTTCATCTCCAGTCGTGACTCTCTCCTCTTTCTGAACTGAAGATTGTGTTCGACTTAAAATGGATAAGTCATTTTTTTGAAAGATTTTACAATTTTTGAACAATACTAAGTTTTTTTCTTGGGTTAATGAACAATAAATCGTTCTATAGATGTGAAAATTGAATAATGGTGTAATGGTACCTATTATTTACAGTTTTTGAACAAATCCAAAAAAGCCCTAATTTTGAGGAAATGTATATGTATTATTAACATTTAGTGAAAAGTCATTTTTTGTCGCTTTTGTTGTTCTTTTTATGAGCATTTTGTTCATATGATTTTAGAAATATAGTCTTGTTCAATTGTCCAACATATATTTCATTTGTTGAAAGATGTGTCGTATGTTGTTACATTTTAGTGATATATTGGTATATGTTCCAATAGAGTTGTCATGTTGGAACATATAACCTATGTGTTAGGGCAACAAAATGGTCATCTATAGTAACAGAAGATTCATCTGTGGCACATGAATATTCATCTGTGGCCACAAAAGATTCATTCGTGGCAACAGAAGGTACATATGTGGCAACAGAATGCCCGTCTGTGTCAACATAAGTATAAATTGCTATCCATTATTATTTTATAATCAATTATAAACTCTCAACCTTTTATTATTTACCTTGTAGATCAAATGATACAAAAAGTTTCATCCATGACAACAGCTCAATCTTTTATTGGTGTTGCTTCCTCTTCTAACATCAAATGTTCTTTTTGTCTATGCGAAGAATGTGAGCAGCAACATGATTATTTTATTAGTCGTGTTAAAGAACTCACTGAGCAGCAACATGATCACTACAATGTGAGCAGCAACATGATCACTACAATGCGAAAAATGTGAGCAACAACATGATACTACAACATTTTGGGCTTTTAGCCACCCCAGTAAAGTGTAGCCTAACCTAGCAAAAAGTGTGGTCTTTGATAAAAGGCTACACTTTTGAACTTTAAGCAACGCTTTTTAAGGGGTGGCCAAAAGAAGCGTAACCTTTGACATGAGGCCACGCTTTTTAAATGTCATCTTAACAGCTACACTTAAAAAGCATTGCCAAAGAGGTATAAGGGCACGCTTTGTAGTAATTCATTATCAACACCTTTGTTTGATTATACTACATTTAAAAGTGTGGTCCTTGCTTTGTTATTGGGCACACTTAAAAAATGTTGCCTTTTATATCTCATCTAGAACAACACTTATAAAGTGTAACTTTTCTTATGTACGTCACACACTAGACGTCCCTATGACAACACTTTTGAAGTGTGGCATTAATGTTGTGTAGAATTTTTGTAGCCACAATTTTTTTGCATTTTTAAGAATAATAATTTTTATTTGAATATATTCAATAATCACATAATTAAATATATAAGTGATCTAAAGCACAAAATTAGCTAATAAATAAATCGAAGCTATATATTTCAAATAAACTTCGAGAAACTTGTCTTGTACAACCAATACTTAAAAAGTGATTGCTTAAAGATCTCTACTATCAATAAATTCCACAAAACCAAATGAATTCAATAGATCGAGTTTACTTCATGCCACAATAGTACAAAAACTCTTCATCGTTCACTACAATAGATCGAGTTTACTTTATGCCACTAGTCAAATTCAATTACCGGCATTTTCCTGAACATTCAAAATAAAATTATAAGTTAGTGAAATAAATCATGTGTTTTTAATATGCTCAAATTCACAGTAAGCCAAACCAATCCATAACAATAAAGTAGCAGGCCAAACACATCAATGCACGCTTTTATCAACAAGAAGTTGGCATTCAAGCAACCTCCTTTCCTAGAGGAGGAATCAGTTTCACAAGCAAAATGTTAAAGCAACTATGAATTGGGCAAAAAAATCTTTTGAAAAACTACAGCTAGATGCTTATCAGAACCCTAATCAGGATTTAGAAGAGGAAGTTTGATCATTTTCACTGGAACCAACCATAAACTGAAGCTCTCTCAACATAAATCTTCAATGAAAAATCCCTAAGCATCTGAAGGCAGCAGTGCTGCTCAAATGGCTGAAGCAACAGTGTTTAACTTGTCTCCATTCCCATCACTCTTTGACACACATTAGCAGCAGCAACAGCAGAGACCCCTCCTGCTGCATACCATACCAGGTTACATTGGAGATACAACTCTTTAGGCATAAATGGACTACCGGAAGACAACTCTTTATAAATTTCAACATTTTAAAGACGAGACATCTAAAAGAAACAAAGAATCACTTGCAAAGCTAATCCATCTTGAAGGCAGTGCATTCCTAAGACAACATAAGATACTGATCAAAACTTCATAAAGACCAGAGGCGATGAGGGCAGCCACATAGAGAAGAGGTGAAAAGGGTGAGCACCTGGCTGTTGAACTTGCACTACTGATTGGTGGAGGTGTCGAGAGCCTCTTTGCGATAAAGAGAAGGAAAGAAGAGTTTGAGAAAAGGATCCATAGAAGTAACTCCCCCTGAAATTCCAATGTCATAACCAAAGATCAACCCTCCCATTACAGCCATAATACAAGTAAGTGCCACATAACGTGTCAACTTCCCTGGGTACTCGGAACCCCCTTCATCAGCAACAATAAAGTTCCCACCAGCCATGATCAAAGATCAAGATCAATATCAATAGAAAGATGTATTATGTTTAGTTAATAAATTGCGAGGGTATATATAAATTTCAAATACTAGTTTGAAAAGAATTAGGATTACTTACATTAAAATGCAAAATTTCATGTCAAATTTCATTCTATCAAAACTTAAAGAAAAATGAAGCTCACAGAGGTCACAAGCAGTAAAGAAAAAGGCAGATTCATTTGTCACTAGAGAACAGATTCATACGAACTCATTTGAGGCCTATTATGTCAAGGATACTGGGCAATATCTCATCCCAAACAAATGAAACACTATCCACATCTCTGAAAAACACAAAACGACAGGAATCAAATACAAATTCACTGTGAGAATCAGAAAAAAAGGTCCTATATCAAAAGGGATCATTCACAACACAAAACGACCATACCAAGGTTGAATAAATCTGCACCTACTGATATGAGTGAGAACTGATCAATCTAAACTTAGAAAACAAGCACAAGAACAATGGAGTAATTTCTTTGACACCTTCAAAACTCATAACTAAAAACAAGAAAACTACTACAACAGATAGAGACAGAACAACATCAATGCACGCTTTTATCAACAGCTTGTCACATGCTTATTTAATACAAATCTAGTGATATTCTCAACTGCACATTTATGTACTTACTTTAAAAAGTATGTTATAAAAAATTATAACGACACAGAAGTTAGAGAAAGCAAAACATGAAATTTTCAAGGAACCTAAGTAGCCCTATCATATAAAAAACAATGTCTTCCAGAGAATATACAGATCATGGTACTATTAAAGTGCAAAACTTGTCTATCCTAGTTCCTAGGGCTGTTTTCAGATTTCGTTCGGTCTTCAAATCCGAATTGTCATCTCATGTTACAGCATTGAGGCCGGCCTAGCTGTTGTAATTTTTTCCACATACAAATCATTTGTCTAGGGGACTGGTAAATTAGGATGTGGTGCGGTGTTGGTACATGTATAACTTGTACATTCTATTGCTGTAATACCAAACATAAGGATACATTATTTGCTATTGCTATGGCCTATGAAGATTCATATTCAGTTGATATGCGTGAGAACTGATCAATCTAAACTTAGAAAATAAGCACAAGAACAATGGAGTAATTTCTTAGACACCTTCAAAACCCATAACCAAAAACAAGAAAACTACTACAACAGATAGTGACAGAACAACATCAATGCACACTTTTATCAACAGTTTGTCACATGCTTATTTAATACAAACTCTACTGAGAATAGAGAGGTTGTTCCTAGTAAATGTTGAAACTTGAAGAAATGTCCAAAGCCTACCTACCACAGAGTCAATGAAGCGAGATGAGATGTCGAGGACGATTCTGGCTGAAGCAAAATTGACAAAGTGTTGAAGTGCTGAAACAACATAGGACTTCATTTAAGCAAAGAACTAATGCCTACAAATATATCCTTACCAATTAAGGAATTTAAATGAACTAATTTAGATTATGAAATTCTATCAAGAAGCAGGTTCAGATTGAAAGCAACATTTCGAAGAAGTTCAAACACATTTTTTAGAAGACCAATAGTACAATATAGAGTGAAACCTTTTAGAGTTGTTTAAAATTATGTCCAAAATTTTAAAATCTCCTTCTTGTGCGCACACAGTCAGAGAAGTATCAAACATCTACTACCATGTTTAAACATTCAAGAAAACATTACAATGATCCTATAATAGATCGTCGATCACACCAAAAAGCTTAAAGCTTCATAGAGTTTATTTGCAAAGCTATGGTGGAACATGAGAACTAAAGAATCGTTATGAAGGAATTATATGAGCAACAAATACTTGATAAATCAGCATACAGTGATAGTACAAAGATGCTAAAATGCAGAGAGGAAATAGAAGCTAAAATCTGGTTGCTGTTCAAGCAAGGTAACTCGTACTTTTGGTTATATAACTGGACAGGCTTGGGAGCTTTGTACAAGCTTATTCCTCCTGGGGCTGAGTATGATCAAACAATTGTTCTGCTCAAAGAAGTGGCAGAAGTAGGGCAATGGGAAGAACAAACTCTAAGGAATTTACTTCCTTATGAGGTGGTTGAACACATTATTCAAAATATATGTCTACCTGAAGACACAAAAGAGATGGATAGACCTTACTGGAAGTTAGAATCGAAGGGAGAATTCACTGTAACTTCTGCCTTCCATCATGTTAGACAGAGACAGGAAGTGAATAAGGTATATAGTTTTATGTGGATAAAAGGTATGCCTATTAAAATCTCATTCTTTATGTGGAAATTGTGGAAAGCTAAAATACCCCTAGATGATATTTCAAAGAAATGGGGAATTCAATTCCCATCCAGATGCTGTTGTAGTGAGAATCATAAGGCAGACGATATTTCTCATGATTTCTTATATTCTCCAGTAGCAACTACCTTGGAAACACTGATTATTTAGAAAACCTTGCATTGGAAAACGAAAATGTAAATGCAAACTATTTTCAGGAATTGGAGGCGCAAGGAAAAAGAACAGTAAATAGTGACAAAGTATTAGAACCTTATCTGAGGATCAGACCATGCAGAAGCTGACGGACATTTGGAAACAGGAGATAAAGGAGAAGAGGGAAGAAGATCCTTAAGTTCAAATCCCCTGGAAGAACATGGAGGATATACTTTTACTAACCACTTGCTCAATTTGCAGGTTCACAAGTTGAATCAGATTTTAGGTGCTCCTATGTTTAGACAAGCTCAACAACTTCAGTAATACATATCTTTACTAGTCGAAAAGGGTCGCAGACACATTATGTTCTGTAAACTTCTTGTAAACATACAATCAATCAAAATAGAATTAAAACACCATTGTCCTCTCAGTCAACTACTATTAGTGGTTTTAGAAAATTATATGATACTCGTCCAATCAGTAAACTAACAAATTTACAGTGCTTAGGTAGAATGAATGCTAAAAAATTGTTTAAATTACCATAATTTTTCAGTTCAAAACTCTCTTCATTAAAGATAACCAAGAGAGTTGTCTCGTTAACCCTGTTTTAATCACTTCTATTCCTTTTGAACAAAGACATGATTCATTTTGAGTCTTTCTTGATAACATAGAAGCTCTTTTAGATATAAAAGGTTCATCAATTTTGATACAGAATTTTGTCGTTTTACATGATAACACAAAAACTTTTTAAATATAGGATACAAAAGTTTATCAAGGTAAAGAAAACAATAACAATTTCATATGATTTACCTGATAAAGTAGAAACCCTTCAGAATTTGGAATTCATCTGAAAGTTGTGCAAAGAGAAACCCTCGATTGATCTGATTGCCTTTAGACAAAGAGAAATCCTCAATTTTTTATCTGGAAAAAGATGAATCCTCTGTTAACGAAGGGTTTAATACTACTACAAGATAGAATCACTTCTAGTCAATCTAAGAAGCTCGAGTTTCAGAAACTAATAAAGGTGAAGCAACAAAAACATAATACTTATAAGATTAACATGAAACCTACATTATAATGGATGATTTCAGCCCTAATCAACTTATCAGTCTAATAAAACAGAAATTCGCATACTTATTTAGTGATTAATGCAACAAGTATGAGACTGACTACCAGCATAGCAGATAATAGTTACGCCACAATCCCACCAACAACTTACTGAGTAGTTCAGGTGATCCTGACTCTACAGAACAGAGAGGACAATCAATGGAATCTACTTTTCAAGAGAAACTTCAACGATTGGGAGCTTGGCAGTCTGAAAAAACTTATTTCCCCCGTGACATTCATATGAAGAATCATTTAAATACATGAATCTTGAAAAATCTCATGCTAAGAGACTCTAATTTTGAGCCAAAAACTAAACCTAAAAAAGAAAGTTCTTCAATTGCTCATATCTATCTATATATAAAATGAGAAGAAAAACTGACACATGTCAGCACCACAAATTTTCAGTATTTTAAATAATTAATAATCAATAATTAAATAAATAAATATAAACGCATGTCAATAATTAGAATTAGAGTGACACATGTCAGCATCACAAAAAAAAATTTAAATAATTTAAAATTATTAATTACATGTAATAGGATTAAATAATAAAATCAACTATTTGTAATTATCTTAAATTCGAAATTAAAATATTAAATTTATTTATTAATGAATTACTTAAAATTAATATATGATAATAACTAAAAAAATTAATTATCTAAATCTGAAAAACAAAAAATAAACATTGCAAAACATGAGTGTGATTATTAATTTTAATTTTATTTTTTTTTAAAAACAAAGAACTGCTCGACGTTACTAAAAAATTTAATTATCTAAATCTGAAAAACAAAAAATAAACATAGAGAAACTTCAACGATTGGGAGCTTGGCAGTCTGAAAAAACTTATTTCCCCCGTGACATTCATATGAAGAATCATTTAAATACATGAATCTTGAAAAATCTCATGCTAAGAGACTCTAATTTTGAGCCAAAAACTAAACCTAAAAAAGAAAGTTCTTCAATTGCTCATATCTATCTATATATAAAATGAGAAGAAAAACTGACACATGTCAGCACCACAAATTTTCAGTATTTTAAATAATTAATAATCAATAATTAAATAAATAAATATAAACGCATGTCAATAATTAGAATTAGAGTGACACATGTCAGCATCACAAAAAAAAATTTAAATAATTTAAAATTATTAATTACATGTAATAGGATTAAATAATAAAATCAACTATTTGTAATTATCTTAAATTCGAAATTAAAATATTAAATTTATTTATTAATGAATTACTTAAAATTAATATATGATAATAACTAAAAAAATTAATTATCTAAATCTGAAAAACAAAAAATAAACATTGCAAAACATGAGTGTGATTATTAAATATAATTTTTTTTTTAAAAAAACAAAGAACTGCTCTACTTTATTAATATATTCTATATCTATCTATATATAATAGAAGAATAAAAAATGTCACATGTCAATACCACAAAATTTTTATTATTCAATTTTGAAAAATAAAATTTAAAATCTATCTATATATATTAGGAGAAGAAAAAGTGTCATGTATCAACACCACAAAATTTCTTAATTATTCAATTTTGAAAAATAAAATTTTAAATTTTAAAATGTTTTGAAAAAAAAAACTACACGTACGGTTTTTTTTTCAAAATAGTTATCACACTTTTTACATTTTAAAAAGTCAAATAAAAAATATAAAAAGATAAAAAAAATTAAAATTAAAAAAGGACAGTTGAAACCAATTGTCCCGTTTTCTTCCACTTTTTTTTAATTTAAAAAATGCAGTTTTTTTTACATAAGATAAGAGTGCAATTTTGAAAAAAAAGTTACTTTTCAAAAAAATAAATAAATTGAATTTCAAAAAATAACTAACCTTATCATTATAAAACACCATCTTAAAGACTGTATTTTTGTGTTGTAGATTTATGGAAGTGATTTTATTTCTAAATAAATCTACAACACAAAAATTACTTTCTGAATTTCCAAAATTATATTCAAAATCAACCTAAAACTCATGACAATGATGATGCTAAGACCCGCAGAATTCCTTCGCTGTAGTAAGTTTTGTTTGTTTCTTCAAATCAAAATACGGAACAATAATTTCAATTTTGAAAAACATTATCGATTAATATTTTTGACACAATTTAATTATCTAGCAAACATTTCAGCAGATATGATTGGTAAGATTTTTCACTATATTATGTTTGTATATGTATCTTTTTTCTTTTCGTCTTTTCAAGTTCAATTGCGCAAAGTAATAAAAAAAATTTGGAATGAACAAAAAGAAAAATGTGATTTGCCAGAAATCGGCTATACTAAAGGTGTCAATCTTTTCTAAAAAAAATTGCATGTAAGAGATTTTTAATTTTTAATTTTTTATTTGTAAATTGCAGGTAACAGGTAAGAATTTTATCAATATTTGTTTATATCTATAACTTTGAAATTTATATTATTTTTTTGCTTCTATTAAGAATTGGCTAATGTTTAAGTTTTTTTTGGAGTCTTATTTTAATTTTTATTAGTTAATAGTTAATAATGCTTCTATTAAGATTATTTTGTTGGGACTTAGAAACTATGAAAACAAAGCAAAGTATTGTATTTACATATAAGAATTAAGTCTTCTTTTCTTCTGTGTTTAAAATTATAAACTTTACCAAAAGTTATGTTCTCTTATATGAAGAGTATAATTATCATGATTACTCAATTTTCACATTCAAGCGCTTGATTGGTTGTCATCGTGTTCTTTATTTTTACGTTCAAGAATTTTATTGTGATCATATTCTTTATTTGTTTTACAATGTTCATACTATAATTTTATAAAATTTAATTTTTTTCTACTATAAAATATAAAACTATAAGGAATTTTATTATTAAAATTGTACAAATGTTCTTTGATTGTAAAAATCGGAGAAGCCATGAAAAGAAAGAGGAAAATGGTTACATAATATTTTTAAAAGTGTTGATGTTGTATATTGTTGAAATTGTGATGATTTAAATTATAAGATCAGAGGAAAAAAAATATTCAAATTGTTATTGGATGCATTTGTTAATCAAATAGATTTTAATCATTATTAGAGGTTCTTATATAAAAAAAATTAAAAAATCAATTTTACCAAATTGAGAAAGTAAAATACAATATGAATTTAAATTAAATTGTGCTAAACAAATTTAACATAGAATAATAACTATATGCATTTACCAAAAAATATCAATATTTATTAGGAAGTGTCTCATTGGAGTTAGAGTTCATACATTACATTGCAACCATTTAAGAATAATATATTTAATTAAAAATATAATATAGATGCAATAAAATGTTTAAAAAGTCCATGCAGCTTAGTCAGTGCAGGTTCAATTCCTGCTGACTTTTTTGTGACAATAATTTGTTTTAAATATTTTTTAAATTATTTTAAATAAAAGACAAAATTTAAAGTTTTCGATAACATGCCTACATTATGATATTCAAGTGATTTTTTTTTGTTGTATTCTTAGTCTTATGATAGGACTTTTCTTAGTTCTATTTTATTTAAATTTAACTATTAAATTTTTTTATATCTTTATTATTCTAACAAGAGGATAATATGGATAGGGTGGTAGTATTTATCCTTTTAAATAATTTTAATAAATAAATTAAATAAATAATGAAAAAAGATAATTATTGTCAAATTTAGACAATGAACTAAATTTATATATTGATTTATTTATATATTGATTTATTTATATAAATGTTCTATTATAACACATTAAATAATGATAAAAGATAATTATTGTCAAAGTTAGACAATGAACTAAGTTTATATATTGATTTATTTATATAAATGTTCTATTATAACACATTAAAATGCTAAATGTTAACATTCTCAAATAAATCTTATAATATTATCTTATAATAAGTTAAAATTTTAAATTCTCAATCAATTAATATTTATGATTACATTTATCAACTAACCGCGCAACGCGCGGGCACGTATACTAGTTTTGCATAAGCTTATCAGAAAGTCCAGAAATAAGCTGACAAAATGGGTATATCAACAAGAGAGGAAGGTTTACTAAAGTTAGTACATCCTGGTAGGCGTGTTGAGACTCATATAAAGCCTATTATTGCTGCTGAAGTACTCAAGAAATTGCACTTTATGAAATAGTATATTTTTAAAATAAATTAAATGTAGTAGAAATCTCAATTAACTTATTTGAAGTGATACCCCAAAAAAATTGGTTCTTAAAATAATATGTTTTCGATCGGGATTCTCAATTTACTTATTTCGAAAACGACAGAAAGGTATTAGTAGCAAAATATGCTAGTGCATCTTCCATCGGAATTCTCTCTCCTATCTATCAACCTTTTTCTTCTATTCATCTCCTTCTCATCATGGGTAGCAATATCATCTATTTTGCGGTAGGTTTTAAATCATTTGACATAACAAGGAAGATCTCAAGGGCTGAGATTTGGTATGAATGGGTGGAAAGAGGCCGAAACATGATGACTTGGGCGAGTTTCAGCCAGAAAACGATGGAGTGGATAGTTCACCTTTTGAAGGAAGCATCGAAAACGACAGGAAACTCGGTGAAGAGATGGAAAAATCACGACCATTATTCTGAGATTTTCTGCTCAAGAATTTTAAACAGATTTGGTCGCTATTTCAGTATCATTAATATGCAAGGAAAGAAGAAAACAATTATTATTGTTCCAGAATGGTCATTTAATTCAGGGTGGTCGGATATTGCTACTAAGATAACCAACTTCATTAATGTCAAAACCACAAGGACAGTCAAGCTTGTACATCGTACGACGGAGGAAGGGCTCCTATACGCAGAGGCTGTCAAGAATAATAAATGGTCAACCAGAGAGATGAATGTTGCTGGGGTAAACAAGAAAGGAAATTCCTTATTTATTTCGGAAGATACTAGGAAAACACAAAATGAACTTCTGGATAGGAGCGTGGTAGGAAGCCTAACAGAGGAGATCTCGAACATCCATCTAGCTGAGATCCGTCGCAGGGTAAATAGTTCCTAGAAACACCACCATGGTATTTACATATATGAGATAGGACGCAACCAGTTTCTCTTTGAGTTCCCAACTAAGACAGCAACAGACCATGTGGTGAAGGGAGAATGGTTCTGGAAATCTCACAAATTCCATCTAGATTGGTGGACGCCATGCTCAAACTCCATCGAGGAAAGCCTGAAGGAAGTTTGGATCAGACTGGTAGGTCTTCCACTCCAATTTTGGTCCCAAAAGATCCTTCGGGAGATCGGAAATCTGTGCGGTGGATGGATACAAACAGAAGAGGAAACAGAGCTCCGAAACCACCTAAAATAGGCTAGAATAAAGGTAAGAGGGGATGAAGAATCAGTCCCAAAGACGGTGGAACTGATACACAATGGATCTATCTTCAAGGTCCAAATTTGGATTGAAGCTCCAGGGAGGTTGGTGAACAGTGGACAAAGGGGGAAGAAGGGTATTACCCAGCAGTCTGTGAAGACACCCTACTTTATACAGGGTAGGGGGGTTTTTGAGTGCACCAAGGTGATAGGACACGTGGGCACTTCGAAGTCGCAGGAAAATTTGAATTTTACAGATGGGCAAACGTACCAGAGGTCACGTGAAAGGGATGAGGGTCTTGATACACATGTGATAGCACGTGCAGGCAGTTTAAATGAGAGGAGGAAAATTTTGGGATGGGGAAATTTGGGCCATGATCCAGTGGCCTAAATCGGTTTTAAAGAAGGGGAGGGGAAAAATGCAAAAGGTCCAGCAGACCCTTTTGTAGATGAAATAATAGCAAATCAGTGGAAAGAAGCGCAGGCCTCTCAACCTATCAGAGGAGAAAATATTTTTGACACTTCATCAGGAGACTTACAAAGCGAGGGAGAAGAGCTGGATCAAGAGCTCCAGGTTGCAACTCTTAGGGATGATGACTCTATGTCAATCATTCAGATGGACAGTAGATTAGAGATTGACACTTATGCAGAACAAGGAAACAAAGAACTTGGAGCCGTGAATGTTGAGGAAGCCACTCCATTAAATTACACCGAGTTACCAGAGAACTTCGAACCAACATCAGATTCTACAATTCCTCTATGGGTCCGACAGAACATCATTAACCTGGGAAAAGAATTTGGGATTCACTTTAATGGGTGTGAGGAAATCGCGGAGGAACTGTTTATGAAGATAGATGGGAAAAGGCAAAGATCCGGTGAAGCAGCAAAGGCTCTAATGTTGATGACACCAAAATCAAAAGTCTCAAAGGAATTAAAAAACCTGGAAGTGGGAACAAATTTTTTTAGCTATGGCACAAGAAGTAAGGGGGGATGCAACATCGTGCAGTCTCATGAAGACTAACATAGTTTCATAGAATGTGAAGGGACTAAATGATGCCAGGAAAAGGCTGGTGATCAAAAGTCATACACAATTGGAAGGCTGATGTATTTTGTTTTCAGGAAACTAAATTGCAAGGGGATATAAACAACATAGTGAGAGATTTATGGGCCAACAAATGGGTAAAACATGCTCAATTAGAGGCAAGCGGTACTAGAGGGGGAGTCATTCTAATGTGGGACAGCAGAGTTTGGGAAGGGGAAGTATGTGAAACAGGTGCATATTGTATTACTTGCAAATTCACAGGCAAATCTCTGGACTTCAGCTGGCACATGTCTGGAGTTTACGCCCCTAATAACAGAGAAGAGAGAGAGAGGAAGTCTGGTGGGAATTGTGCTCAGTGAGAGGTCTTTTTTCAGGACCTTGGGTGGTTGGGGGGGATTTCAATACAGTCAGATTCCCTTCAGAGAAACGAAATTGTACCAGATTTAATAAGGCCATGATGGACTTCACAAATGTTATCGAAGATGCAGAGCTAGTTGACATCCAGCTAGCGGGAGATGTTTTTACATGGAAGAAAGGAGAAGGCCAGGATCCTGCAGCCAGGCTGGATAGATTCCTGATTTCTGAGGAATGGGAGAACACTTTTAAGAACATCAAACAATCGACATTACAAAGGGTTATTTCAGATCATTGCCCTCTGATATTGGAATGTGGTAATTGGGAGAGACCAAACTCCTATTTCAAGTTTGAGAATTGGAGGCTTCAAACAAAAAAATTTAAGGAGATGGTGAAGACTTGGTGGGACTCCAGTATTTTTAGGGGAAAACCTGACTTTATCCTGGCAAGTAAATTAAAATACATGAAGGGTAAACTCAAAGAGTGGAGCAGAACAAGACAGGGAAATTTGGGACTACAGAAACAGAGCATTCTTAATCAACTGGCTGACCTAGAGAGGATACAAGACCAAAGACAACTCACAGATGATGAATCCTATTTAAGATAAGTTCTCACCATTGAATTTGAAGATAATGCAAAGAGAGAGGAAGTAGCTTGGAGACAAAGATCCAGAGCTTTGTGGTTAAAAGAGGGGGACAGGAACACTAAGTTCTTTCATAGAACTGCAAACAGCCATAGGAGATACAACAACATTGATAAGATTTCTGTTAATGGAGTGTGCACGCAAGAACCAACAATAATCAAAGAAGAAATCTTAAACTTTTATCAGAATCTTTACACTGAGACAGAGAGGTGGAGACCTCAGTTCATTGTTAGAAATGGCAAGATGATTAGTGAAGGTGACAATATCATGCTTCAGAGTCAGTTTACGGAGGATGAAATAAAAGATTGTGTTATGGCATGTGCTGAGGACAAAGCTCCAGGCCCTGATGGGTAGGTACACTATGGCTTTCTTCATTACATGTTGGGAGGTAGTTAGAAAAGAGGTAGTTGCAGCTGTCCAAAACTTCCATGATCATGGTATTTTTGAGAGAAGTTTTAATGCTACCTTCATAGCATTGATTACAAAAAAGATAGGGGGTAAGGAGTTGACAGATTTTAGACCTATTAGTCTAATATGGAGCATATATAAGATCATTTCAAAACTTTTAACCGAAAGACTTAAGAAAGTGGTCTATAATCTGGTGGATACCCAACAAATGGCCTTCATAAAAGGTAGGCAGATCATGGATGCAATTTTGATTGCAAATGAATGTGTGGAGGAGAGAAAGAACAGTAAGGTGCCAGGCATTTTATGCAAATTGGATATTGAAAAAGCCTATGACCACTTGCATTGGGGATTCCTCTGGAAGTCCTTGGAAAACATGGGCTTTGGAGGAAAATGGCTAAAATGGATTAAGTTTTGCACTACAACTGTGAAGTTCTCTATTTTGATAAATGGTGCCCCCTCTGGTTTTTTCTCACAAGAGAGAGGACTGAGATAAGGAGATCCTTTATCTCCTTTCCTCTTTATCATGGCGATGGAGGGCCTAAATGACATGCTCAGAACAGCCCAAACAAGAGGATGGATAAGAGGATTCAATGCTAATATGAATGACAGACAAGGTCTGGCCATCTCCCACTTACAGTATGCTGATGACACATTGATATTTTATGATGCAGACAGCTCTCAACTAAAGTACTTGAGAGTAATTTGATCCTTTTTGAAGCCATCTTAGGCCTACACATCAATTGGGGTAAGAGCTTCATCTTTCCTGTCAATGAGGTGCCTAGGATAAACATGCTTGCAAATATACTAGGGGGGGAGGTAGGGGATCTCCCCACAACATACCTTGGCATGCCTTTGGGAGACAAGAGCAGGTCAAAAGGTATTTGGAACAACATTCTAGAAAAGTGTAAGAAGAAGCTGGTGAACTGGAAAAGTCAATATTTGTCCTTGGGAGGAAGAGTCACACTCATCAACAGTGTGCTAGATGCTCTACCCACATACATGATGTCTGTTTTCCATATGCCTGCAAATGTGATTGACAGAATGAATGCAATTAGGAGGAATTTTTTGTGGCAAGGAAATTGTGATCCTAATAATCATAAATTCCATCTAGTGAAGTGGGACCAAGTCATTCTCAGCAAAAAGGAAGGAGGTTTGGGGATTAGGAATCTGAAAATCCAGAATCAAAGCTTACTTATGAAGTGGTTATGGAGATTTGCCTCACAAGAACAAGCTCTCTGGAAGGAAACAATAAAGGCTAGGTTTGGTATGGAGAATTTGTGGATCACCAACCTGTCCACACAACCCTATGGATCTGGAGTATGGAGATCCATCCGAAGTTTATGGATCAAATTCTTTAACAAATGCAAAATCAAGGTAGGGAATGGTGGAAGGACTTTGTTCTGGGAAGACAAATGGGTGGATCAGGTGACTTTGAGAAATAGGTTCCCTATTTTGTTCAACATGAGCCTTCAAAAAGAGGCTACAATCAGAGAAATGAGAGATAATCAAGGGTGGGATCTAAGGTTTAGAAGACATCTAAATGATTGGGAGGTCAATAAAATAGTTGAGCTACTCAACATTCTAGGGCAGTGCAAAGATCTAAACACAAATGAGTACAATCTATTTTGGAATCCAGATGAGCAAGGCATATTTTCAGTTGGCTCGGCTTATAGAAGCTCACAAAGACCTGGTACTCATATAGGTGGATGGCCTTGGAAGATGATTTGGAAAGTCAAGATACCATTCAAGATAGCATGTTTCACTTGGCTGTTAGCCAATCAGGCTGCACTCAACTCAACACAACCTCAATGAAAAGAGGCATGCAATCTGTTCCAAGGTGTTGGTTTTGTGAATGTGAGGTCGAGACAATAAATCATCTCTTTCTACATTGTAGAGAGACTGCAAAGTTGTGGCAGATTTTCATTAACTTAAGGGGCATCAATTGGACTATGCCAAGGAACATCAAAGAAGCTCTAGCTTGCTGGAACAGAGATGGGAATCAGTCAGGACACAGGGAGAGATGGAAGATTGTCCCAGCCTGCATTTGGTGGTCTATATGGATGGAGAGGAACCAGAGATGTTTTAAAAACAAGAGTTGCTCCATCCAGAATTTGAAGCTGAATTGCCTGGTTCTTTTCTTTTTTGGTGTAAACATGAATATCCTCAAGATGCAGAGGATATTCCTAGTATTTTAGAGTTCTTATGACCTCCATAGGAGTTCTTTGCTTTTTGCAACTTTTGGATGTAAGTATTACTAGAATACTCCTTATGTATTCTTTTGTTTATAATACAAGTTACCTTTCTCAAAAAAAAAAAAGTGCTCGAATACTGAGTTACAAGTCAGCTTCAAATAGTAAAAGATTTTCAGCAGAAAATCAACATAGCATTGCTAGTGTAACTAAGTGTATTAAGCAACTAAGCAAGTACATTGTCAAGTCATGTAGTAACCTTGATTTTAAATGCTAAAGGAGGTTATAAAGAATCCTTAAGGTCTTCACGAGCCTACTTCAGCTCACGACAGAAAGTTTGTTTTGTTGAAATGCTACATATATTACAAAAAGGAAAGCACAAAGATTGTGCAGAACATTACATCAAAAACCCAAAAGATCACCGACTATGTATACAGTAAATTGATGAACTATAACATGGACTGAGATTCATTTACAAGTTCTACTTTACACCAAAAGGAAATCACAAAAATACTACTCCCCCTCTGTCGCATCAATTTAGATTAATCAACTCCTTTATAGTGTTAACCGAAAAAAAATAATTACTAGCACTTATTTGAAGAAACGAAGCAGAAAAATACAACTATAAACAACAACATCCGAACAATTCACATTTGGAAACACTCGTTTTCTTTTTTTGAAGATTTGAACAAATTGTAGAAACAATCTTGGGCATTCAAAATAAATTATAGCCTACACTACTCACTGTATGCAACAACCAAAACAATCACATATGAATACAACATTAGACTGGGCTCTACAACTTCTTGTCAACAAAAATCGTATCAACAACACAAGAATATCAAAACCCTAAAGCTAAATGTGTAACCACACGCAAGCAATAAACCCAAATGCCATAAATTTAGACTTCTAAAGATAAATTTTTTTACCTGATAAACCCTATTCCAACAAAATCCTTTTAATGTGATGAAGCTCATCATCCTCTTAAGTGAAGCATTTTGTTCTTCAACAAGAACTCTGTGAGAGATTTTCGTATGCTAGAGGGAGAAATCTATGGCGTAATAGCTGTTCAACAAGAAATCTATGAGGGAGAAAAGACGTTTTGAGGGATAACAGATGTTTTGAGGGATTACAACTATGAGGGATTACAGATTCCTTTAGCGTTCTTGAGACTTTTTTAGCGTACTTCTGGAGAGAATTTTTCTGATTTGGAGGAAAAGATATATTTATGTTTTATGAATTGTTTTTTTTTTGCCCAATAAAAATTGGAGGGAGAGTTTAAAATGTTTGAGGGAATATACTCCCTCCGTTTCACAAAGAATGACCTAGTTTGACTTGGCACGGAGTTTAAGTAAATAAAGAAGACTTTTGAATCTTGTGGTCCTAAATTAAAGTTATGTCAAATGTACAAAATTGCCCTTAATCTTGTGGTCTTAAACATGCCACGTGGAAAGCAAAAAGTAAGATGTTACCAAAAAAGGAAAGAGGTCATTCTTTTTGAAACTGACTAAAAAGGAAAGGAGGTCATTCTTTGTGAAACGGAGGGAGTAATATTTTAGTGAAAATTTTAAGGCCACATTTATAATGTGTTGTTTTTTACAATTATAAAAGTAGGACATTTTAAAAGTGTGGCCATATATGTAAATAGTCGTTGCCTATTATAACATACAGTAATAACCATTATAAAGTGTAGCCTATACCTTTAAAGGGTACACTTTACAAGTGTCGTAAATATTATCGAAGCCAAAAGTGAAAAACTTAGGCTACGCTTTAAAAGCGTCCTCAAAATTATTTTAGGCAACACTTTACAAGGTTGTCCAGATTTAGTGTGGCCGTAGGCCTAAAATGTTGTAGAATAGCTTATAATATTGATGTTCATACATCCAAGAAGATTTCACAGCCTTCGAAGTTTAGGAGGTTGAAAAAATCTATTTCCCAATCACTATCTATATTTAGTAAAAGAAAAAAAATCAATGACTACTACTCCAGTATCACACTCAACCCCAAAAGGCAAGGAGGAGGAGGAGAAGGAGGAGGAGGAGGAGAAGGAGAAGGAGGAGGAAGAGAAGGAGAAGGAGAAGGAGAAAGTGAAAAAGAAAGCGAAAGAGAAAGAGAAAAAGAAAGAGAAGAAAGTCGAAGTCGTCAGTTGTAATGTGAAGCAACAATATCTATTTGAAGGTTTTAACATTGACGGCAAGGGTCCAACTGAGCTAATTTCATCCTTCTCACAATGGATAAATGAAGGTCTTTACAAGCATCATGCAAAAAAGTAAAGTTGTTCAACTATTATTAGTATTTCTTCTTGTTGTCCACTAAATAATTATTTATAATGATTACACAATTGTAGAAGAGACAAGGACGATCACTACTTAGCCAATTGCTCGAATCTTGAGTTCAAACAACTGGATTTTGTTGTTGCATCTCTAAAGAAGAAGGATTGGTTCTACGTAATGTCTCAACCCAATAGGTGTTGGACTGATGAGGTAAATCCATGCCCACTTTTATGTTTTGATTAATACATGAATACATACAAATAAATTGATACGGAAAATATACTTGTTGATGCATCTATGCAGCATGTGAATGTCATTTTATACTATTTGCGGAAGAAGTTGAAGCAACAGAGTCATTCTAAATATCGATATACCACTACTAATTATTTTTTCAAAACATACATTGACAAAGCCAGTGTTGTTCCTGAATATGAGTATAAAATCGTTGGCATTATCAAAGGGTTTGATATACCTGCTGGACTACCTTGGCACCTCACAGATGATGTTTATGTCCCTGTAAATTGTAATGGGGAGTTTCGTTGGGTCTTGGAAGTCATTGAATTAAAGGAACGGTGCATAAAGGTGTATGATTAATTCGATGTCCTCATCTAGGACTAACAGAAAATTGTGCTCCGAGATTCAAAATTTGTCTACAATGTTGCCAAAGTACCTTGAATCCAGCGAAATTTTTTGAGCAAAAAGAGTGAACTAACTGGTCAGTTCTTGAAACTTACGAAGGAAAGAACAAATCTTACCCATTCAAAGTCATACATGTTACTGGTATTGCCCAACAAGCAAGCAGTAGTCTGTAAGTATCACATTATTTTTTTGTCTTACCACTATCGAAATGTGATGTTATTAGGTTTATTATATTTTCTAATTGATGATATACCATGCAGAGATTGTGCACTTTTTGTTGCTGCATACGCTGAGTTTTTGAGTGATGGACTACAAGTACCATCTAATGGAATTATTTCTGAAACCCTTCGCATGAGATATGTTTCACTCCTATGGAATTATGGGATTTTAAAGGCTCGGAGTGTCTATGTTAGTAACAATGAAGACCCACAGAGGCCTAGACCTAAAAAAGCAAAGTTCGATGAAAATGTTGTGGTTACCACCATTGATTAGATTGATGGTTATGTATACCATTGTGAATTACCTTTTTGTTGATAAGTTGTAAAAAATAATTGGTGAAGTGTTCATTTTTGCTGATAATATTAATATTAATGATTATTATTATTATTATTATTATTTTGTTGGAACAAATGTCAATTATGATAGAAAGGAAGAAATGTGGTGTATGTGGCAATATATATAACATCTGTTGTAAAAAACGCCACAGAATTATCTGCATGTGCTCCAACAGAAAGGATACATGTGGCAACATATGTCACATAAAGAAGATATGTGGTAACATATGTCACAGAAAAGAGATATGTGGCAGCAATATATTGTCACCAATTGTTCATTTTTGCTAATAATATTAATATTAATGATTATTAATATTATTTTTATTTTGTTGGAACAAATGTCAATTATGATGGAAATAGTCTTTGTAAAAATAATTGATAGAATCGATGAAGGTTGTTGTATTAGACCATAATTTTGTACTTTGACATGTTGTAGGATTATATATTAGTGTTACATGTTGAATTAGGTGACAATTTAATTGAATTAGCCCCAAAAGGCACATTTTAGAATATGCATATGTTGCCACATATGACATGTCTGTTGCAATTTCTGCTATAAATTCAACAATTTATCCAACAAAACGTGCATATGTTGCCACAAATGACATTTCAAGGATGGGTTAATCGATATATTGAGCAATTTAGCAATGGAAAAATGTCAAATTAGACCAACGCTTAGTACTTTAGGCCATAATTAAGCAATAAAAAGATGCTATAAGACTTGGAACAACGATTTACAAGGGTGTTATATAACTATCATATGAAATTACTTGGTCATTGTATGATGAACTAGTGGTATGATAGTCTTTGTAAAAATAATTGATAGAATTGATGAAGGTCGTTGTATTAGACCATAATTTTGTACTTAGACATGTTGTAAGACTATATATTTAGTGTTACATGTTGAATTAGGTGACAATTTAATTGAATTAACCCCAAAAAGCACATTTTAGGATATACATATGTTGTCACATATGACATGTCTGTTGCAATTTCTGTTATAAATTCAACAATTTATCCAACAGAACGTGCATATGTTGCCACAGATGACATATTTTATAAAGAACAAATTCAAAAATCAGTATAAAACACTTCATCTAGTTCTAAATCACCAAAACATAATTCACAACGAACGTGATACAATTGATGAACAGTGC